CCCTGTTTACAGCACAGATCACAAAAAAGGGGTACGTGGGGCAGTTCAGCTGCTCGCCCATAGATGGCACAGACTCTCTTTGGCTGCCCTTCGGCATTCCGCCTGGCTCTCTTTCCGAAACGCCTGGGCTTCACATAGCTCTTCTATTACTTAGCTGTCAGCTTTGCACGTGTGTCTCACTCAACCAACAGTGCCTATGCTGAGGTAGAACCTGAATCTTTAACTCCAGCTTTAAAAAAAAAATAAAATGGAGAGATTTCCTCCTGTTTGCAGTGATGACATGAATAAATGATGGGCAGACTTCCACAGGTGCTCAGCATTCAGCATTTTTTTTCATCTCAATACACACAAAGCATTGAGGTTGGAGCATTTATCCTCACATGTATGATTTCATCTCGTGGGATATTACAGCTGAAACTGTTTGTACTGAAATCATTTTTAGTACCTCTCTAGCAAGCAATACGTAAAGTATTTTTCAGCAGAGATATCCTGGTGCTTGTTTCTGCACTTCATGCAACAAAAACGCCTAGGCACGTACTTAAAGCTTAGCTCTTCATCGGTAAAAAAGAATCAGAAGGCAACTGAGCTGGGTTTTCCTTTTGTGACTTGATCAGGATCTGTGCTCAGCTGACAAGTGCTGAGCTAATGTTACCAGTGTGTTAACATGGGAGGAATTTTGTGGGTGTTGGTGTGGTTCTATGCATCAAGCATGGGAGGAGATGCTCGCAGCACCTGGAGAGAATGAAAATGCTAAAAAAAGACAAGCCAGCAGAGACAAGAGAATCTGCAGTACGAACCAAAGGAACACACTGTGAGGGCGGCACCTCCCACCACTGGCCACCATGACCTGAGGCCTGGCAGCCTGCCTTTTTTTCCCTGCTTCTTTTTCAAATGCATGTATGTATGCACACACAGCTCCAAGCACTTTGCTATCTCTTGCTATCTCAGGGCCTAATGAAGTAAAATTACAACTTGAAATTCTACTGTTCTTCTCTATTCATAATAGTACTGTAAGGAAGGACAAAACGTGCTGCTATCCAGTCAATTAACTTCCCCTTTCATCTTTTTTACTTAAGTGCTATTACTGCTCGTGCTTCCCAGATGACACACGAATACGGGTCTGTGCCTTCCTGCCGCATGAAAGATGCGTGCAGTGCTGCCGCCTCCTGGTCCCACAGCGATAGCAGCTGGTCCCAGGTGGGTGAAAGAGCAGCTGGATAGAAGTCAGCTTCAGCTTAAATCAAACATTTCATAAAGGCACGGTGGATGTTTTAGAGGACTTTAATAAATATATGATATATATATCATATGTATGTGTGTGTGTGTATGTATGTATATATATATATATGTATAGTTTTCTAATCAATCGTAGGTGCATTTCATGGAATAAAATGAAAAAAGCTGACAAACTGAGTGGTTATTTGAAACAGAATACACAGTTTTATCAAATACGTGTGCATACTTAAATCTCTTGTAAAGTTATACACTTATGGGTAAAGGAGACTGACTCTAGCCGTATATGATGCACATTTAAAATACACGTTATATAATCGATAGGCAATATTTAATGTGTACACTAATAGCTAGTATTTAACACAGACTAATGAATGCTTGTGGTGTTCTTACAGAATGTTGTTTAACAGCTGCCTATATGATGTTAAAAAGTAGTATTTAGTAACCATTCTTATATTTTAAGAAATGACCTTTCTAAATTTTGTTTGTAAAAAAAGTGGGTATACATGCATATAGTATTTTTCTCACTATTATTCCATTTAATATCTATTGGTACGTAAAGTGTTCTGCCACATGCATCTTCCTTAAAGCAAAATACAAATGCCAAGGGATATCAATTGATGTCAATAATCCTCAATTGCACACAAATCATGATTACTGATTAGTAAAGCAATTATCATATTAAAAGAGTTCAACAGGGCTCAACATACTGTAAAATTAGAAATCAGTCAATAGCACGGCCATTATATAGAACAGCATTGATTGGATGTACTGAATGCTAGCCTTGATGACAATTGATCAGAATGAACCCTTCTCACAAAGGAGTCTGGTACACTAATTGAGAAGCCATCATTAAATAGAATAGATAATCAAGAAGGAGAAAGGGGGGAGGAGAAATGGATACAAAGCTAAGAGAAACAATAGAGAGAAACAATAAAAAGAGCAAAGAAAACCTCTGTCCCTATACTAGTTCCTGAGAGTACTTCTCCAAAAGTAGATGATCCTAAGAAACCCCCACAGTTCATCTCTATAATCTGTTTCAAAGCTGGGGAACATGTTCAAAATCACACAAACAAACGAGTTTTTCCACCACAAGCATTTCCAAAAGCAAATCATCCTTAGAGTATAAAATTCAGAGGTTCTGTCTGCAATGCATCTGGGACCTAACTTCACTGGCCTACTTGAAATCAGGCCTCAAATCACACAGCCCTGGAAAGCTGCACAGGCTGCCCTGCTGTTTTGACTGCTGCTCCAAGAAATAGGTGGCAGAAACAAGACCAGAACATCTTCTGTATTACAGTGCCTTCAGCATTACATCGAATTTCTAAGTACAAATGAAACAAACCTCTCTGCATTATAACGAAATGTTAAGAAGGATGTACAGAAAAGAGTCTTTTAGTGCCAACTAGATGGCACTATTCACATTACTTTTAATGCACATTTCTTACATAGAGAGAGTCCCTGAAAACAGATGCAAAATGGACTTAATCAGGTAGTTAGGAAAGAGAGAGGATCAGCAGGTTAGCTGAAGTCAGAGAGAAGAGCACTGCAGATGTTCCTAAGGATAATGCAGCTGCAGAAGAGACATTTGGACAACAGAGGATTAAGAACTCTGTAGTCACAGCAGTCAGTCTTCACATGCAAATGCATTAAAGGATGATGAGTGGTTTTACCAAACTCTGACTAAATTCTCCAAAAGGTCACGAAGTTACTTATCACTATGTCTTCTAATCATCTGTAATGTTTCTCTTGATATAAGTAAGATTTCTCATGTCTGAGCTAGGCACTGTCTTAATGAACAGCAGGGCATTTAGGCATCCCTTACACAGTATTGCCAAACATTATAGAAAACAAAGTCACACCTCAAGACTTCTGGTCCTCTCTGATCTTTGATAACATAAGTGTTCTTGGAGGGCCAGGGAATTTAGAGAAGCTGTCTAAAAAAATGGTAAATTAGGGCAATGACAGTCAATTACACATAAATTCACTGGAAAGTTAAAAAGCTTCAAGTTACTTTATGCTATTAGCAGAGCAGCACAATATACTTGAAACATGAGAATTGATTATATCCAAATAACTCTTCTTACTCCAGAGGTTAAAACCCAGAAATAAAAACCAGGCCCTAAAGTCATTTCGTTCTGCACCTATAATAAACGTAAAGACGGTTTACGCTTTTACCACAAGTTCTACTCCCCCCCAAGGAAAACATAGGCAGCAGTAACACGAGCATCTTAAAAGCTGCTTTCAAGTGACTTCTTTACAAGTTCCAGTGTTGGAAGTATACCTGAGGAAGGACATTTTTTGAGTGCTTGATCCACTGGAAGAAAAAAAAAATTACATAAGAAATAAGTTGCAGTTTCCCAACTTCCCACTCAGAAGTTATCACGAGAACATGATCTTTTTACTGCCATCACATCCTCCTGCTGGAGGAGGAGGAGGACATGGTTGTTTTCCAAAAGATCATAGCCAAGCAACTCCTCCATAATGCTAGCGCTCTGAGTGCAGTAAACAGTTATGGTTAAAAGTGTCTGCCAAAGGCCACTGCTGACAACTACAAGTGGAACACAGAACATGCATAGAATATCGAGGGAAAGGAGAGGGAGAGATGGAGGGTAGGTTAAAAAGCAACTATAAAAACAAGAAACAATTCTTCTAAGCATGGTAAAAAAGTAGTCTCCATTTGAAGTCAGGCTAGCATTCACACCTCAGCTATCACTGAGAAGTTGTTGGGTTCAACATTTGCTTTAAATGTCACTGCATAAAAAAGTACCTCTTTGACAAAGTGCTTAGCTTTTTCTTGTCAAGATAGTCAAAAGATGGCAAAGAAAACAGACAGAAAGACACACGCACACCCTGTGCCCACTCCTTCCACAGCTGAACAAGTGATGTGTGATACTTGCAGATTCAAACATGCAAGATGAGTTATAACTGTAACAAGGATCACACATCCAACAGCTCTCCTCCTTTCAGTGAGCTGGGGAAGCATTGCATGACAGGTAGAGACATCATCTCCTATTGTCTTCTAAAAACATAGTCCAAATGAGAAAATTTGTGTTACAACAATTCTGATCTCGCCATCTCTTTCCTTCTCTGCCCTTTCTTTTTGCCTATTCTGTCTCCCCTTCCAACTCTGAGCAAGATGAAGCGACATGGTAAAGCAAAAGTCATAGGCCCAATATGTATTTTAACCCTCTACATAGAACTACAATTTCTGTTAGTGCCTTAAAGACATCTGCCACACAGAAAAAAATATTTTCTGTTTTAAACTTTGGCACACTGAAGAGATTTAAGTAGTATTATTTAAGATTTAAGAAGCAATAATTACAACAGAACATAGTGGAAGCCATGACATAGGTTTTCCTTAATTTGTGCAATGCATTCAGACAGACACAGAAAGAAATACAGGAAAATCAGAAGACAAAATATAAATTTTAAAATATATTTTTCCACACCACTGTCCTTGGCTTTCACCAAATGATCCTCATGTCACACAAGCAGGCACCTGGAACACGTTGCCATGGCTGCTGTGCTGCTGTTGGTCAGTGGTACAGTGGGAAATATCTTACCTGGCAATCACTTGTCTTGTGACATGGAGAGTAAAGTCAGCAAGTGCTTTTTTCCCCTTCTGACATCCAACACTTCATCTGCATCTTGGAATTCTGAAAACATTATGGTGAACTGTTCCATGTCTTCTCACAGGGAAGCGTATCTCTACAACAACACAGTGCCTGCAGCTCACAGGAAAACAGCTAAACAAGGTGCTGATACAGGTTGTGAAGACATATGTTTTATTAGTAGTTAAGAAATTACCAGTTAAGACTCTAAGTAACTTAAAGATTTCTTTAAAACACATGTTCTAACTAACCTAGGTAATTTTACTGCAGATTCTTCACATTCATCATTGAAGAGAATTTCACAAGAATCTCATAAATGTTCCTATTTTTAAACCAATATCCTTATTTGAAATAAAATACTGTTTGTTCATGGCTTCTCTACTGTGTCATAAGCAAAATATCTGACAGGGACAGCAGGAAGGAATTTTAATATAAAAAAAGCCCATTTTCCACGAGGATAAGTCCAGTCAAAAAAACAGGAGATAAAATAAATAACATTTAGTAAACATTTCCATTTCCCACAAACCCATTTTCTGTCACTAGCTGGCAATATTTTTTCTGTTGCTCTTCCTTGAAAGACTCTTTGACTTTTTTTCTTTTCAGTCCTCCATCCCTGAAAAATACAGATAAGGAAATGGCCTTCAGTTCATGTCAGAGTAAAGGTAGAAAAACGTTACAATAATTACATTGCTTAATAAGAGCAACTTTCACCCTAGATGCTGGCTTTTGCAATGCTACACTCAATGATTTGTTCTGCCAAGATCTATCACGCTATAAACAAGTGCCACCCTTTAATCTGATGTTTAACAAACAAAGTGTTTATTCTCACCAAATTCCATTTTCTGGTTGCTACCTGTCAACTCTGTTTATCTTTTTATACTTTATTAGTCTACCTATACTAGTAAAGCTGTTCACAAAATAAGGAAATAGTGCCTCACTCAGAGTCTGTAAGGGTGACGGACTACAGCCAAGCAAAGAAAACAAGGAAGAAGTTTTAAAAGGAATCCAGCAATAAGTTTTAGATTACAAAACACCTAAATACGCTTTCAGCTCAGTTTCGAAGACGTTCCCTCTTACCATGGAAGTACAGACATTCCTCCCCGAGCAGCAATGACAGCCTTGACTCTGTTGGCAAAGTGAACAGCATCTTCTTCTTCCTGTAAAAGACACCAGTGACTTGCTGTACAGTTGAAATGTTTTCTCTATGTCTCACTTGAAGAGACACCTTGCGTCAGAAAATAGGCATCAGATATACTTCAGCTGCTCCTCAGGAATGCTAACTGGCTAGACAGCATGCTGAATTTGCCATCATCCAATGCCAAGAGAGCAAAGTGTGAGGCTCTATCCCTTCCATGGCATTTCAAAGTAACTTGTAGAACAAGGTCACAGGTCTGAACAGAGCATGGGAATGTATGTGCACCCAGTACCTTGGTACCAATCTAACCCCAGGAAGCTGGGAACACACTCAAAGGATCACCTTGGAGGATGTGAGGTGCCTTGAACAGAGCTGGTGCCAGATACCACAGTACCAGTGAATTTTCATGGGCCAGCAAGGGTCTGTTTGCTCCACTGCAGAAGACACTCAACTGGCTGTTTCCAGTATCCAACACAATCTCTTTATGCCAGAAAGAAAATAACCACACAGAGAAATGACTATAAAGTATTAAATTACTTAAATTGGTCTGACTTGCAGGGAGCTAGTAAATTGTGATTCTGAAGCAGATAGAAACTAGCCAAATGAAAACTCTAGAAAGAATTTTATAAGACTATTCACTTTCTGGAACTTGCTCACTAGGTAAGGAAAAGTGCTGTGTTCTCTAGTAAAAAAAAATAAAAAAAATAAAGACCAGTAAAAGATAACCTTCTGGACCTAAGATCCATCTACCCCTTCCTACAGCTACTGTTACACATTCTCAAATCTATTACAATTAAAGGACATTTTTTTTAAAATTTCTAAATAGATGGATGGCATATAAACCTATGTGTTATAAATGTTTTGTATACCAGGTTAGCCAAGAATTTCAGCAAGAAGCATGCTAGAGTGAGGATGCAAATCCATCTTTCAAAATTTTGCAGCTTTGTTTTGTTAAGTGTGCAGTTTCTCTTGCAGCAGGCATGTATGAATGGTGACCATACTTCAAGTGTGCAGTTACAAGGACTCTGAGATATCCATGCATAGCTAAGTGACTATGGTACAGGAAGTTTACAACCTTCACAGAAATTAGCTTGATTTATGTAAAGAGTGCACCATGAACCTTAGAGATGGAAATAACAAAACCAACATAATAAAATGAAATTACTTTCAGAGCAGCCCTCACCTTGCTCTCATTATCCTAATAGGCTACACATCCTGATTTACAATCTCTACTTAATTTTAGGAGTACAGTGTCACTTCCTACTTTTTCCATTACACTGTCAATAAAGACTTGCTGACATCATGACAACAGTAATGCAGGTTTCCTCTTAGAAACAATTTGTGAGCATTTCTAAAACACAGGCAAAAGCATAAGTACCTCTTTGACCATCGGTGGCAGGTACCACACATTGCAGACAATAGCCCAGCTGGTCAACACATTAAAACCATAGGTCATCATGGAATACTTGGTGCTGTTCCAGAACGCATCTCCAAATCGAGGGTCATACTGGAAGACAAGAACGAGCTGAAGGGCTCAGACTGCTCTGTAGGCGGTACGGTAAGTTGTACAGCATACACAGAACGACAAGGGCAGAGGTAACAGCAATCAGAGATGATCCAGAGATAAAAGAAGCACTACGATGATGATACAGTCGAAGAGCACAAAAAGATACAATGGCAGAAGTTGTATGATGTCAGTTCTGAAGAAAGACAACCCAAAGGTGCAGAACACCCAGTACATGCAGAATAAGAGCACATCCTTGTCTATATACAAGTGCAGCTGTGCTTAGTTCGGATCATATAGGCAGGGCTTTTCCTTTGTTTTGTTTTGGGTTTTTTTTGCCATAATATAATGGCTTGTTACATGAGGGACAAATCACTTCCTGGAAGTAATTATAGTTCAAAGCTCCATGTTTTAGCATTTGTTGCAAGTTAATACAAGTTAACCTGTATATCCTGGCAGAAGAAAAGGGCCAACAGTACCCAGTGGTGAAACAGACACAGCGCTGATGGTTGAGGGAAGGGATTGCCTGCAGCAAGCTCCCCAGGGCAGTGATCATGGCACCAAGCTGCCAGAGTTCAAGGAGCATTTGGACCCTGCTCTCAGACATTGGGTTTTAATGTGGGACGGTCCTGAGTTGAGCTCAGCCCCTGGCACTATGATCCTTGTGGGTCACCTCCAACTCAGGATATTCCGTAATTCTAAGAACCTCTACACGTAATACAAGACCCCAAACTAGGACAGACCCAAACAAATCTTAACTATAATCAGATAGAGCTACTCAACATGTAAAGATTTATCTTCTACAGATGTGCTGACTTGAAAGGTTTACTTGATAATGTTCACACTACTTGTAACAATTTCCATAAGGTTATGCAATGTTATAGCTTCAGGAAAAGGAAGTCATGTATCTACAGCCAGAATGACTTGGCTAAAGCTTATTAGAGAGACTTGCAAGTGCCAAGGGAATAATTCAATTACTAGTGCCTTTATCCATCATGAGCCAGGAACACCAGAATGGAAAGACCAGGTAGAACTAAACACACAGCATCGTACTTTACAAGTTGTTCCTAAGCCATTCAGCATTTTCCATACTTACCTTGATAGCTACCGGATGGATGATCCCTCCTACTTCAAAGCTTCCCTTCTTAAACATCATAACTGACGTGTTGTTTATGCAGGTACCTAGCCAGAATGAAAATGAGTGAAAAGTTCAGTCCATTCTGCAAAAAAACATCAGCAAATGCATATTATATTGCCTTAAACAGAATGAAGTTGCTAGAAGAGAAAAAAAAAAAATCTTTCATTCAGAAACATAATTCCATTATATTATGCTCTTAGGTAAGAGACTAAGAAGCAAAAGGGTTAATGTCTCAAACACTTGGTAGAAGTGTAAAATCAGCACTGAACCAGATAAGGAGTAAGATAAAGAGTGATCAGAGGAGGAGGATCTTGTGAAGGAGGAGAGTCAGTTTGTGATAATATGAATATCTGTTGAATTACAATAGAAAAATTGAATTACAACAGGAAAATTTAGTAGGAAAAGGAGAGATCTGACAAACTACACCTTTACACCAAAGAGGGTCAACTAGTAGTCATCTGGGCAGAGGGAGAGTGAGACTTCCTGAAGCCCCTCTTACTCACTCCCCGAATAGCCTAGATCTCAAATATCAAGTTGTACTTGGGCAGGGGTAAGGCCCTGCCTTGATCACAACATTACAGGGGGCCTGACAGCCACCTGAGACCCCAGACTTATTTACAACTGCTGACTGAACCACTTCTTGGGGGGCAGGGCACAAGCATGTGAAAGGCAGAATACCGCCAGTTCAGGTATGCACCCACCACAGGAAGAGCAACCGTGTCTACCCTGCGAGATCCCAGGGTGGAGATAGCTCATTTCTTTGTTTCATTCTTTCCTCTCTCTGTCTGTCTGCCTGTCTGTCTCTCTCTCTCCCCAAGTCACATTACAACATAAAGCAAGCCATACTATATCTTATTGACAATAAGCTATGATAGATACTTAAATCAAAATATCATAGTGGGATACAAATGAACATTTAACTGATCATTCGGTGTCATTTCACCTTAATTTACTCCAAATGATTCTTGAACTCTGTGATCTCCACACATTACTCAGAGTAGCTCAGAGTCAGGTTGCAACAGACTAAACAAAATAAACTGCCATAAAATTGTGTTACATAGTAGAATCTCACTTTTAATATCTCACAAGAGCTCATTAATTCTACAACAAACACCTCTAAAGATTAGACATGATAAAATGCACTCAGTGTAAAGTGAGCAAAGCAATATAGAGTTGGTTCCTACCTTCTGGAAAAATTAGAATGGGTAATTTGGCCTTGTCTGCAATGTGTTCTCTGATTCTGTGGAGAGAAAATAAAATTTCAATGTACACTTCATTACTGCAGAAGACTCATATTTCTATGTGGTTGGGAATCTAAGTACGGATTCTCTCTTACATAGAACAGGAAAAGCTCTTGCCTAGTAGTTCTTAGACAGACAGTGGTCTCAGCAAGGATGTGCACTAGTTTCAGGCCTTGAGGGTTTTCTCTTGCTAAATATGTAAATAGATTTTCCACCAAAAAAATCTTTGACAGGTTCTCGTAATGAATAATGTTGAATTTTTGTTGACCACTGTTTTGCTTTTTTAATAAACAATAGTCTATATTTTAAAGCTTTGTGCTGATGCATATATATATACACACACATACCTAATGTTTTCCACACCTATATGTGAGAAACGAAGCTATTTTACTGCATTTTCTTTATTACTTAAAAACAACTGCTTTTAAGCAAATAAACCACTATAAGCAGATTACTGACACACAAAATGTATCCGTTTTCAAGACACCTATCTGTCTTCCCTATGAATCAAGAGCCTACAGTTCCTCTGAACTCCATGTAAAAGAGGATAAACAAACCATCAAATACCAAAAAAACCCAAAAACAGATCTGTCCAGTAAAGGGGCACCTTTTCCCTTTCCTAAGGACTAATTGCCATAAATGCTTGTTTCATGTTAGCTGCATTGCACTCTATTTCATTAACATTTCAGATGACTAAGAGGACCTAAGGCACCAACAAATGGCACAACAAGTCTATCATTTTCATGTCCTTAAAAGTCTAATACACCTTCTCTGCCAGGAACAGTAGTGCAGGGCTTTGGAGCAGTGCAGGCATCAGGTACTGACACTTCTCCAAGATGCTCTTCCAGCTTCTAGCAGCTAGGGGGTACCGCCTATGAACTTGTTTAATTCCTTTTGCAGATTTTGAGTGCAAGACAGCTGAGTACTGTGGGTGTTTCTAATGAGCTGCAACTCGCTTCCTCAGATAGTCTACCAATCTCCACAAGAAAATAGGTAAGCCCGATGTTAATGTTTGCTATTGTCAGCTTTCCTTTCTCCTGTACTTACAACAGACATAACCAGATTTCTGATGCTCAGAGCTTTTGGGAAAACATGCAGAGGTAAGGTATGATCTAGGAAAATGATATGCTGACAAGAACTCTGATGTTGGTCCTGACATCCAGAATCATAAACTTTGAAAATGAATGAGCAGGCATCTGCCTGTGGCAAGCAGCCTGATTGTGCCAATGTGGAAATTCACAGAGGTTATAGGACAAACAACCAGAAGCTCTAAAGAGCAGTGCTACAGCCTGCATCATCATCATCAGAGTAGTTCCAAATCTTACAAACACCTACAGCTGCCTGCCAAGAAGAGATTCAGGGTCACAGCTCACTCAGCTCACAATGGGACCTCACAATTGCAAGACCTGATGAGAAAAGTAAGCAAAGATCTCACTGTCCTACCTTTTTCTCACCAGATGTCGATCTTTCATTTCTGAACGTTCAAACAAAACATGCTGACTGGTTTGCATACAAGATTTCTGAATAAGTCCCAGAAGCCCTCCATGTACCTGGCCAACCTGTAAGCCAAAAACTGAAATATTTATATGGCAAAAATACACATAATTATTTAATTGACTAAAATCTAACTAAAGATGCATCAACTTCTGAACTTGTTCCATGAATTATACCAATTGTTTTGGTCAAAAGTGTGCATTCACTTACCTGTCTGAACAGAAGTTCCGAGTAGGAGAATTTAAATGCTTGAAAATTCCACTCTCTCTACCAATAACTTTATCCTCCTGCCCAACACCGTATCTGTGAGTGCCTCAATATTACCAATATTTACCAGCTGTCTTGCTCATACCAAGGAGTAGCATCCATCACTAGCCAGGATTAGAACATCTAGTGGAGATGTGTGGTTGGCTACACAGATGCCTCCTTTCTGCGGTCTGTTTTCCCTGTAACAGCCATGAGAGTGATTACTTCACATTTATTCTTCAGACTGCAGGCCCCACCAGGTCATCTCTCTAGCGAGTGTACACCCACAACAAAGATCCTTGGTGACAAAAATATATAATGGACATACATTATCTGTATGTACAGATAACAGAAGCACAAGAACACAAGACAATTTAAAATACAACTCTAAGGTATGTTTAAACTTCTGGCAGTACATTACAGAAGCCATCTTTCCCCATGCATTTGAGAATTCCTTCAGATTTCAGTAGTTTTGGTCAAAACCATTTTCCTTACAGCTCAGAATAAGCAACATCACTGGAGAAAGCATTTCCACAGCATTCATTACCATTCTCAGAGGCATATATCAAAGACTACTCAAGCACTAAACTTGAACTTATAGATACTAATAAGCATGGCTTTCTTTCCTTCCTAAATTATCAACAAAAATTACTTTGAGGGCCTCCATTACATAAACCTTCACAACTAAGCAAGCAAGATATTAGAAGTAGTTACTGAAACATCATCCATAACATACTAGAAAGGTGAATATGAAGACTTAGGTTATCAAGTTGGCTAATAGAGCAGTTGATGTTTTAATTGCCTAGAAAAACATCACCACAGAAACATGTTAATAGCAAACATAAGGGAAAATGTTTAAGTCTGTATTTAATGAAGAATACAGCACTACTCCAACACTGCACTCTCTGCAAATACCCAAGAGACAACACAGCAGAGCACAAAAACATCTTGAAAGACAGACAGAGTCTACATGACCTACACAAGTTCTACCAAGGCTGCAATTCAATATGAGTATCAGTGTATTAATGGAATTAAAACCCTCTCTGAAACTTGAGATTCAGCAGTGTGTGACATGAATAATAGACAAGAGCAGGGTTGCACCACTCACCTGTTGTGAAATTGAACAAGACCACTCAGACATCGGACACCTAACGCAGCACATGTCAGCTGAACTTGGTTACTCAGCCAGCATTTAACCCTGGAAGAGAAAAGTCACCCCACAATTGTGCACATCGACTCTCCAAATTCAAGCATATTCAGTTCCAATACCCTAATTCAGCTCCTCAAAGAAATCCAAGAGAAGTGGAAAGAGCCCTCAGAAAACACCCACCTGCCATTTGGAAACTGTCCTACTACCGTAGTTGCTGAGACCAGCAAGAGGATGCTGAAGAAAGCCAAGAAGATGCTAAAAAGTAAAATAATCTTCATTAATTGGTAAGAATGAAATTTGGAAGAGGAAGCTGAAAGAAAATCTTTTAATCCTTTAATTCTTTTCCAGGATGCTTCTATCCACCATAAATAGCATCAAACTATCATCACAAAGCAGTCAAAGCCAATGAGATATGAGTACAGGTTTTCATTCGATTAATCCTCCAGTAGAAAACTGTGCTTCTTGAAGCCTATTTTACAAAAAGAGCCACAACTTGGTCTCAAGGCATCAAGTGGAGAATAATTCATTGTCTTCAAAATAGATGGCAAGTAATGATTATGAGATTTGTTAACACAGGTGAAATTTCTGAGTAGCACAATAGAGAACTACCATCAAGCTTTTAAAAATCTACTCAGAAATTTCAGTAGCTATTTCTATTCCAAGAAGTTACTCTAGAACCATGAAAATTAGGTACTGTTGGACACTAATGGCTTAGCAAAACAAACATTGAAGTTATCCCTACTTAAATGGTGTCCTCTACTTAAGTGGTTCTATATATTTAAGTAGACACACAGGCACTTGTGCTCTGCTATGTGCTTAACTGTTATGAAATCCTTCAACATATTCAAAAAGAGTAAGACATTTTACAAGGTTCTGCTCCTTGCTAGAATGTATTTATGGTTGTATGTGCCTTGTCAATGTGATAAAGGCTGTTTTCATGTAAAAGAACACGGAAATTTCTGTAAAGAAACACACTGTGGGCTATCTCTTTCTTCCATCCAGCCCTGCACTGACAGAACGCAGGCTTTGCTTCACATCCCAAGGGTTCAGCATACAGTCTCTCTCTTCCTCACACAGGTAAAGCCCAACTCTCAGCTGAAACAGCTTTTATTTTACATAATGAAAGGATCTCCAGATCGTTGCTATGATTTAAAAAACAAATTAGATGAACAGATGTATTTGCATACTAACAAAATATACAGAACATAAGAAACATATCTTGAGCTTTCCTTTTTTCCCCTCTGGAGATCTTTGGTGGCAACCTGGAAAGCAAAGTCAAGTCACATTCTTTCTCAATTCTGCACTAGTCAATAACATATAACATCATACCTTCTATTAAAAGCAATCCAAAAACAAAATCCCAACAAATTACCCTTGGCTCACCGAAAGGGCACCAGGAGACAGTACCGGATTAAGATCCCAATGATCCACGCAGTGGTCAGTTGCCAGCTGACACGGTGAAAGTTGGCATTGGTTCTGCTGAGGAGATTCCAGGACAACAGCTCCTCAGAGGTGAACCGCTGTGTGACTTCATCTTCTGCAACTGTCTCACACCCCTTCTTGGCAAAGTACATAACATCTGCAAGGCTGAAGTATCCTCTGTGCTGGCCAGCAATCTCCTTTTCCATGGAGGTTTCCTCTCTCTGGATGATCCCTTTGTTTCAAGAAACAAGTAGAAAAATAAAGACAAAAAACAAGCCAAAAGCATGAGGAAATGAGCCTTCCCTCCCACTTGGTAAAATGGACAACATAGAGTCCAAAAAAAGTGAAATAACTGTACTTCTTAGAAATATCATTCCTTCTTTCTATGCACTGTAATTGAATTGGTATATTTTGGGTATATACTAGCACTTAACTCCATAAGTTACTTCTCTAATCCTATGCCATATCACACCACTAAATTATTGGAGGAGACAAGCATTCAGAATAAGCTGCAAATAGAACTCTGAGCACAACATCTACTTCACTGTCATTTATCAAACAATGTAAGTACACACAGCTCCAAATGTTGCCTGTACTGCTTAGACTACAGATCTCTCCTCTTGCCTTGACTCAAGGCTAGGTGTTGTTTATATTGTTCTTGATTTTGCTGCTGTTGTTTAGTTCTACTTTTTACAGCTGGGAAAATACTGTGGAACAAACACCTGCCTCTGGCATTGTTTCTCAGCCCCCATCCTCTCTCCTACAAGAGTCACCTCACTATCAACAAACACTAAAGCTTTAGATTTTTCTCTGAGTTATACACACCATAAGATAAATGCACAGTAGAGAAAGAATAAAAAATAATTCATATTTCATATCTGTAAAATTAATGCCTCACAGGACAACTACACCTGTGACCATACCAATGTTTGCTGAGGTCACTCAGAGACCAGATTCTGGCTGGTTACAATAAGTAGGATTTCACTGAACCATATCAGCTAATATTTGGGGGGGGGGGTTGTTCTTTTTTTTTTTTTTTTTTTTTTTTTTTAATTTTTAAATAAGGCTCATTTTGAGATGTTTAATCAGCATACTATTAACTGATCAGAATCAGACTAACTTCCTCAGCTGCACTTTGGTCAAACTTACAGCGTCCAGGAAATCACCAGACTTGAAGGTCATTAGTTAATGAACCAGTCCATGTGACTAATGACTAAGGATGGCACTAGCCAGTTCCTTTGTGGGAAAGGAGAAAGGAAAAACAGATGTGAAAAAAATTTACTCTAATTCTTTCCCTATATCTAGAGTAAGTGCAAGATGCGTCTGTGATCCACGGGGTAGCATAGATGCTTTACTTGAGACTCAGGCTTTTGTACGCTAGGAGTTGCAAAAAGCAAGAGAAAACAAAAAATGACCACAGCAAAAAATGTCCACAGCAACTGGACATCAGTCACTCCTAATCTTGTAAATAGGGAGGACTGCTGGAGTCAGAAATACAAAACAGACATAAAAAGAGAGACAGCTTCCCTCCTGGCTATCAGCAGTTCCTTTCTTTACCCAAACTGGTTTCCTTTAATGCCTTTTATTCAGAAGGCTCAATCGTTCAGATACATTTCTTATTACACACATAAGGCCTCATTTGTTGGTTTACAACATCAGCAACTATTTGCTCATTAACTCTTTATTTACTATCCTAGTTTTCCTACTTAACATGAGATTAAATTTATATATCTGTTCACTCTTTCCTGGGTAAGATACCACAGTAGCTGCCTTTATACCAGATGAACAGTGCTGTGTCACTTTTGTTCAGAGATCTTACCGTTGGCGATTAAATTTTCAAGCGCCAGCACCTTCTGCATTTTTATTCCCTTCTCAATCTGCAGGGTGGCCCACTGTTCTCAAAACAAGAAAAGTAGACGGTGATGGTTTTCATTTTGTCATTTCCAGGTACTCTGTAACATCTTTACATGAATTGTCTGAGCCTCCTTTATTGAAGCCAGGACTCAGATTTGCAGTTTTCAAATTCTGAAGGCTGTCTTGAACATCTCCTATTTTGTTAGTTACATTGATTACTTGTAGTCATTATAATGAAGGATTATTTGGCTCAAAGTCATTTTCAGGAGTTTTTATTTTTCTTTACCCATATTACTGAGCTATCTATGAGACTCTGAGGACCAAGAGTCCCAAATTCTGTCTTACCCAGTCAGCTTCAGGCAACAGAATGATGCAAACTAATATTACTGACACAAAAACATTCTGGGAAAACAAAGACTTAAAAAACGGATTTTTAAGAATAAAAGAAATGACATCAGTCTCACAGCATTCATGAAATTTGTCTTAACAGAATACAAGAGAGGGACTATTTCATATTCACAGCATTTCCAAAGTAGTAGCTGTGGGTAATGAGTTTTCATCCTTCCCAGTCTTCTTGAAAAAAAGCAAAATTTCTTCTACTTGTGCAGACTAAACTCAAGATCAACCATACCAATATGCCTACTTCTAAAGTTTTACGTTGGTACAAAATGTTTTCATGATACATATATGGGCATATAAACAGTAGCCCTCAGTACTAGATCTTCCTCAGTTTGCATCAGTATATGTGTCTTAATAAAGAACTTCAGGTTCTGATTGCCTTTTAAGGAATCAGTGATCCACTCAGCAAATGTCCTCACCTGACATTAATGCTTCCACCTGCGACGGACAAGAGTCCATGCTTCTATTCCAGCTCTTAGCAAACAGTTCTTGCTTCTCATCTTACTGACATGCATAACCATTTAAGCAACACATAGATTGACCACGAAGGGTTTTCATTGCATTGCAGACCTATAAATCTGCACGTGCCATTGACTGACTAGATTTTTGCTATGCTTAAGTTTTGCATGGTTCCTAACAGCTCCTTTCTTAGCCACTGAAGTTAAACTCGATGACAAGACAGAGACGGTTTATCATGGCAGAATCAGGATGTTGTAGTTGCCTTTGGTTGACTTTTGCTACCTGCATCTTGGGGGGAGGAGGAGGGAGCAAAAACACCCAAAGGAAAACAACAAAGATAAAAAGACACAGCGATGCAATACATTAAACTCCATTAAATCCATCTTACATAAGACCGGCGGGGGGTGGAAGGAGGGAGGTACAGACCTTTGCCTTATCTATGCTAGAAAATTAAAATACAGTGTAAATTTTAAATGCAATAGCTGTTCCAGAACCCCTTACTCCCTAAGAAAGCGGAACTGGTACATCAACTGTCTCAAGCTGTGATAACACACAGTGAGTCATTCAGGAGTGGGAATCTAGGAGATATCAAAAAACTACAACCCACACACTGAGAAAAGAAAGAAGATACTTCATGTGAAAAAGAGCATTCCGGGGAAAAAAAAAAAAAGAAAAAAAAAATCAAGGTAGACACATTCTGCTGCTGGTCCTCATCCCTTACCCAGTATCCAAAGGTATGAGGGATGAGAAGAAAAAAGATGGAAAAAAAAAAAAAAATCACCAAAGTTCAGCAAATAAAGACCCTTCTCTTACTTTCTTCTTTCTCATATTTTGTCTGTCACCCTTATCTCGCCCGTCATGCACCTACATGAACAGCCTGCCAGTTGGCAAGCAACTCTAGAAATCAGTTTGCCCTTACTGTCTTCTGAATACCTCAAGAAGTCTACCTTTTGATTCCCAAGTAGAAAAAGGGTACAATCACCAAGTGACTCACAAAAATATATTAACTAATTCAGTGAGCAAGATAAGTCAAAACCAACCAGACATTGAAGAAATTGATATCATAAAGCACAATATCCTGTCTCATAGCATAGAGAAAAAGTGGGACAAAAGCAATGCTCTGTAATTAAGGAGGCAACTAAGGCAACAAAGGCAGAGGACAAAGCAGATGAGAAAGAGCTCTCAGTAGAGGAATGGTTACACGTTAGCCTGGAAAACAGCATCTACAAAATTTCAGCTGGTGCAGAGCAGGCACATAAGATACAATTACATATTTTGTCTTCTAATACAACAACTGGGAAGCATCCTATGAAAGCACTGGGCAATGGATATAAGCAGCAGAAAGGTGACACCTTTGCATAGAACTGACAGCTAAGTTGTAGAGTTCATTGTCAAGAACATATTGCTAGAGATCAACTGAAATGGGTTCAAGGAACATCAAGGCACAGGCAAAAATCATCATGGGATACACAACACAAAGTCACCTCTCCTAACTTATGAATCAGCACAAGAGGCTGAAGCAGTGGGTAGCAGGGAGAGTATTCTTAGCAATACAGCTGTACGTTCACGCGGCTCTTAGGCTTTTCATCAAGCACATAAGCTGTCTCCTGCTAAAGCCAGGACTAGGTCCATCTTTTGGACCGATACAGCAGCTTAGTTACCGTCTTCTCCAGCATTCTGTGACATCTGTATGCTTAATTTGTTTCTGAAATATGAAATAAGGCTTTTTGATTGCCTTTGTTTTGTACAGTATTGAGACAGAACTGTCTGTCTGGTCTTCGTTGCAAAACTGTAATGAGAGGCTGTTCTAAATAGCTTACAAAACCACAGATGTTGTAACTAACACAGAATTGAAGAGCTGAATGGACTAACTTCATTCCTAAGTTTGCTGAGTGAATGACAACTCAGATACCGTGCTTTCCTCCCACCCACTTCTCAAGTGATGAGGACACAAAAAGCCCAAACATCCCTCAGGTGATCCCACCTGAACTGCTGAAGATTCGACTCCTCAGCTCCAACAGCCCATGCCAGGTGCCCTGTAATTACCTTCTGAACAAAATGAGCATCCATAATACTGTATTATACTAATTACTCTCTTCACAGTACATAACATTATAAGCAACATGATACCAAACACTAACTTTTTTAATCTCATTTCTTCTGTTGTTCTTCTTCTTTTTCAAGTAGAGGTCAGTGTGTTGTTCAGTATTCTTTTTTTTCTGTATGGTGTAATTCATTTTTATCTCTTTATCCTTCCATTTCCATGTTTTACTATCTCTCTTTCCCTATGACCTCTCAAAAGCTTCTACTAATTGCTGACCAAACTGGGTTTTTCAATCCTCTTCTTAACTTTGTTCTCATGAGTGACAAAGGCACAGCGTTTCCCTTGGTGAAATTACTCCATATAAAGTTTTCTGAGGTAATAACCACAAGGCCAATGGGTTTCAGCTCCAGCTAAAATCACCATCTATGATCAAGCACTTATGTTTTTTCATCAAGCTATCCTATCTAGCCTCATTTTTCCTCTTCTTGTTTTTGAAGAGGAAGAAGATTTACTCTGTTTCAAACAAACAAATATCTAGATTCCTTGCTGGAAAAGAAGCAAAGGACAAATTCAAGTATTTCTGTACATAAATTCCACCTTGCTCATTTATATCAGTCACTGTTCTCATTACTAAAACACTTCAGTAAAAATGGAAATCAGAAAGAGGCACTTCATCAAATGCCAGTGTTAACCATTGCTTATGAACAAATTTTGCAAACCTGACCTCCAAGCAAATTCAGTAAGGGCTGTAGATATCCTTTCTTTGCAAATTCAACACTGAAAAAAAATAGTATTTGGACTTAAAACCCAATTTTCACATCTACTCTTATTTTTCCCAAGTTCAGAAAACTTGGAGGAAAGTAAATTACATTTTTCTTTTTCTTTTTTTTCCTACATATTTGTGCATTCATTTAAAGTTGTACAAAGCAAATATAGACTGCTCTTATAAATTTTCTATTTATTTTGCAGGACTACATAACAGACTAAATGAAATGCATAACAACAGATAATCCAGTCAGCATCCAAGGCTGCATTTCTTGTAAAATATCGATCAGTTGTTACATACTGCCTAAAGAGCAGATATTGCTGGAATACCATTGCTATCATGCTGGTACACAACTCTGAGGATTTTTGGAGTACCTACTGGACAAGGCATCCTATTTCCCCACTCAAGTTAGCAACAACAACAGAGAATAATCCTTCTGCATCACCTTGTTAGCAAGAGCTCAAACAAACATTGTCACAGCCAGAAACAGGTTGACATTTCACTAGGTTATCAGTGCCAAGTTGCTCATGTCTTGAACTGTGTGCAAGTCTGCCTTAAAGCTTACTGCATGCCAAGTAGCAGTTTCCATAGTGCTACTTGGTACTATTCCCAGCACTTTCAGAAGAGGCCCAGAAAGTGTAAGCATAGGCCTTAGCCCAGCATTTCCCAATACTGCTCACACTTCCTGAGGGCAAAGTGAGTCGTAGCACAAGTAAAGGGCACCTAAATTACCCTCCATCCTCTCTCCCATTTCCCACCAAGATGCATCTTTCCTACTCTTGTGGCACGAAGAGCTTTTTGCATAATATCTCAGCCTAAAAACAGCTAAAATTAATCAGAATATAAGGACAGATTAAAAATTTTTTTGCTTTCAAGACAGCCAGGGATCAACTTTCAACTGAATGACAAAACCAAAAAATGTCTACATAGAATCAGCCTGAACTGCAGTACTTCTTGTTGTGCTGTTATTAGCTGCTGCAGAATTGGGAAACTATACATTAGAGAGATCAGATCACAGAGCTGTTGACTTACTACTTTTTTTTCTGATAAAACAATCCTATATATTTTGAAGGCAAGATTAGCATGCTCATAAACTTCATACAACTAAAATATATATATATATATATATTAATGTACATTCCAAAGAGAAAGTCTTCCTACAGAAAGCAGGTCCACAATGGGTCAAATTTCCTTTGAAACTGGGAAAAGCATAGAGAAAGGAGGGCGGTAGGGAGGAAAAAAATAAAAATAAAAAATAACAACAACAACAAATCCACAACAAATATTTAAATATCTGTCAACTGCAGCAGTAAAGCTGACAAAAGAACTCGAGGCTCTTACAAGCCTCTTACTCAGATATCAGTAAGAGTTTCATCACCATACCACTGGCTGATAAAATATCACACATAAAAGCAGTATTACATAGTGCCATGGTAGTCGGTCATATCCCACTGATATCAATATTTGAAAACAACTGGTAACATCTCCAGGTTGCAGCCATTTCCACTATGTTAAATGATGCTTAAACAGCTGAACACAGTCCCTGCCAAAGAGTTCTTAATCACTAGTAAAAAAAAGAGACAGAGGAGTTCTAATAAGACAGAAACTATAGAGAATTGGCAGGGCAGGAGAGATGCAGTATTAATTGTATCACATTGCCACATGACTTGTTTAATATGACAAACTGACAGCACCTGCTTTTGGCCATTAGTGAGCATAAAAAGATCAGACCTGAAAAACAACATGAAATCCTGGCTTATTAAAACCCAAAAGAAACTTTCACAATTATCAGCAGAATCAGGACCTTAGCCATGACTTGTTCACTTCTAGAGAAGTGCACTTCCAGAGGGTGGCTCTGCATTTCTTGCAGAGCAGAAGTTGTGACTGCTGGATCACACAGAATTATAAATGGGATTGAAACAAGTGCAGTCTGTACTCTTACCTAGAACAGTACTAATTCCTGTAATGTAACTGAAACAACCAAACCAAATCCATTAAACTTACGTACTTGTCAAACACATTTTTTTTTGCCATTTACAACTTCTCATAATTAATTACATTTTAATTATATTTGATTTCCCCAAAATATAGCATGAAGTATTGTAACCAGCTTGAACTATTAGCAAAATATCGTGGAATCTCTACTTTAACATGAGAAAACCTCAACCTGATACTGCACTATAACCCAACACTTAACTAAACGTCATTAAAGGTATCATTCAAAGGAACCATCACGTAAGTCAAAAGTGGGGAACAAATCCCACCAAAAGACAATCAAAGAAACAAAGCACACCTGTCCCCCCAAAAAAACCCAACACCCTATATCCAAAAGTCTCAGAATTAATGGAAACATTCCTGGTGGCTTTAATGGCATCTAATTCAAATGAACAGGTATTTTCAAAATTCAAAACGTCCTGTAGAAAACACATACCTTTTAATGTAATTCTCAACTTACCTCCAATGTTTTTATTACAATTTTCACATAGACATGAGAAATCCCCAGTGACACTCTAAACATCGAAGGCAACAGAACTAGCACTACAAATGAAGTCAGCCAGATTAACAAAGTTTTGCCCTCCACAAGGCTGTAGCCCTGTCTATTTTCTTCCATGCTTGCTCCTTCAAAACATCAACCTGATAACTTTCTTAGAATATTTGCTCATCTGCTGAGAATCAGGCAAGCTTCAAGAGACAAACAAAAATTACACATCCTAAAAGCCAAAGCTATTCCTAGGAGAGAGCTGCTGCACTCTAAACGTGCCACCAGAGATGCTCTCAATGATAGCAAAATTTTTACCCCTTCTCCCGCCCTAGCTCCACCCACTTCCATATAATTGATAAGCAATTACTCACCAGATATAACACAGGGTAGAAGAATATGTGTCTGGTAATAAGGTGCTGTCAAATGAGGACTTGTCAATATGTCAAATAGTTTACCCAAGGTGTCCTGCCAATAAATTATAATACAAAATCAAGTAGGTGTGGTTTTCAAATAATCTAAAATGTTCTTTTCTAAAAAAAACAAAAACACAATGCAGAGAAAGAACTTCTCCAAATGAAGTCTAGTCAAATTACTATCTTCCTTGGTCAGACTTTCTACCTCACATTGAAATGACTGCCTCGTTTCAGTATTTCACCACAAGAACCAAACTGAAGCTTTAGGTTTAAGTCAGCTACTTGTTGTTTGTTTGTTTTAATACCTCTGAGATGTAGATGCAAATTGCAGCAGGCAGGAATCAACATCAGAAGCAAATAAAACCTGCTCCCTCTTGTTCTACAAGAAATTAGCCAAATTGTATCACAGGGTTACAAAATGCACTGTGGTGACGCAACAAGTCACACATCTTTGCAGTGGTGAGGTACTGGAACAGGCTGCCCAGAGAGGTTGTGGATCTTCCATCCCTGGAGGTGTTCAATGCCAGATTGGATGAGGCCCTGGGCAGCCTGGTCTAGTATTAAATGGGGAGGTTGGTGGCCCTGCATGTGGCAGGGGGTTGGTGATACATGACCCTTGAGGTCCCTTCCAACTCTGGCCATTCTGTGATTCTATGAATCCAAACACATTAGATAGGGAGGTTTCACCTTCTATCCTATGAAACAGCAATAATTAGTATTGTATTTTTAGGAAAGATTCAGTACAGCCCCTAATTCCAGCCCCTAGCCTGTCCTTCTATATGCATCAGAGGAAGAATAGAAGTAACTGTATCCCTAGAAGCTATGGAGAGCCCACAGACACCACTTAAAACCTTACCACAGAATAAATCAATTGACATTGATGAAATGACTGCTCTGGGACTTCCAAAGCAGTTACGTGTGAATCCATGAAGGATCTTTCCTTTGCAGGTGGTCACATTTACAAGCTTGCATAACTGCAGGGGCTGTACATTTGAAACTTCCCATCCCCACAAACCATGGTCTGGTTTGCGTGGTGGAGCAGCCTCACTCCACACTGGATTCTTCAGGAATTAAAGCAGAAGTGCTCTAGAAAACATGACCCATATGCTCCAGTCATGAACAGAAACACAAGAATCAGGGTGCACTGCCCAACACTAAGTCCTCTAGTTCGTACCATACACCCAGGGACCAACAAACAGGCTTCTTGTTACAAGCTCACGATACCATCACATCCTTTATGTGCCACATGAGTCAAGTAATCTCTTGTGTCCTCAGATTTACTGCTGGATATCAGACCTCAGGTCCTTATAACACCACTGCACCTTCTTCCATAATCTAATTTTTATTGTCTTCCCCTCATTATTTATCTGCCTCTGATAATCTATTTCTGAGCATATTACATCTTCTGGAAAAAAAACAGTTATATTGTTATGGTTTCTGCTTTCCCATCACTCTTTTTCTCAATGGCAACTACAAGCCCCTGACTCTACCATGCAACCAGTCCTGCGCCATGCACCATTACCCACCATTCCCAACCCATCTCACCAAGTTATAGGTTCTTCTAGGCTTCTCTAGAAACAGTACTTATTTATTATAAAAACAGTTCTGTTTGCTCATCCCTCGTTAGCTGCCACCCCCTACATTCTCATTTCTGGCCTCTTCCTATAGCTGCCTGCCCCGCTAGCACATGGTCACACAAGGCAGGGGGTTGTAGATGGTAAGATGCTGATCCTGAGGCACAATGCAGCACATCTGAGAGCTGCCTTCAGCTTCAGCTCAGGTGACTGGCATGCACGCCAGCTGGGTGCTAAAACCTGTGGGCGGGAGGGTGGAGGTAGTTTCTGGGACCTGACTTGAGTCAGGAAAGGTAGGCCAAATTAAGTATCAATAGCCCGTCAGGACATAACAGTGAGGTGTAGCAACAGCCTTAACTGGCAATAAGCCTAGGTATAGGTAAGAGGGATCCTTTCTTAAAAGGAGACAGATTTCCTTACCCTGCACAGAGGAAGTAGAATTTTCCTCTCCTGAGTGAGGGAGATTTGTTTTCCATCCTGTGAGAAATTATCATCTGCACTTCCTCCCTAACCTTTATCAAGTCATATTCCCACAAATCAGAATAATAATGCGAACAGACAGCGTAGTTCTTCCCTTTCACCTTCTAAAAAGACAGAGCACCCAAACCCCTCCCCAGGCTCGCCCATCCACACTGCTGAGTGACAGGACTTCAGCCCTCTGTTAGCTGTGATTTTCCTGGCAAACCATTCAGCCCAAGACCTCTGAGGCTTCCTCGGGGCTGCCATGACAGCTTCTACAGGTAATCCCCAAAAATGCAGAACGTGTAGCAAAGTTATGCCTGCTAAGAGGTACTACTGAGTAGAGAGGGGGAACAAAAAAAGTACAGGGGGGTGGAGGGAGCTGGGATGTTGACAGTCTATTGCTCTTCATCCAGCACGTCACATTTGCCGTAGCAACAGAAAATTCCAACTTTTTGTCCAACTGCACAGGTAAGCATATCCTTTTTGTGGCCATGGAACAAATACCTCCATTGTGACTTAACAGTCTGACAGGTTACTTATGACAGAAAGCAGTTTTTCTGAACCTTCTTCTTGCTACTATCAGCTTATTCTGACATGACTCACACGCTTATTAGCTGCTTTTAATCCAGACAGATGACTTTTGGCCGCCCAATAAAGCTGGGAGACATTTGTATTCTGTGAGAAATGGTTATTCTGCCGTAACAGTGTCAACTGCTCACTCTTGGCTCTCAGTTCTTGAGGTCATTCTACTCATTTGTTACTATTAGGCCATGCTTTTTGGTTGTCTTAGGGAACTGGAACTATGACCCATTCATTTTTCCATGGTGTGGAGAAGCAAACATAGCACTATTACCAATTTTAACAATAACAGTAATATTAAGGCCCTCTTGGTTTTGATAAAACTTTCCTGATGTTTCAACCTCACATTGTGCAGACTTTTCACCTGGTTGCTAAACAGGAGTGAAATAATCTCTGGTACCTTGGGTCTGCTTTTTATAAACACTGAGGTTTGTACTTCACTTGTGAGAGAGCTCCATGTCACCAGAATTACTTTAAAGATCACCCCTTCTATGGTGAGCAATTTCAGTCTGAATATTCATATATGGAAATCACACTGTTCTCATGCAACGAAATGCAAATATCCACACCTCTGCATCCATACTCTAACTGACCTATCTCTGCTGTTCTTTAGGTCAGCAGAGATCTCATCTGTGTCACAAAATAGGTCTGTGTCTGCATCTGACCACAGAGGAGTTGTGCTACTTATAGGTTATCTCTGCCTGTCAGCAGTTGAATTATGACATTGAAGAAGTATGTTTAAGCAGTGTATTACTCATTAGGATGATTGTAACATGTTTAGCTCTGACCACACTAGCATTATGGTTTCCTCAGAAGATAAATTCAGTCATTACAAAACCTTAATCACCATATCAGGATACATCTTTATATCACAAAATCTGGGAGTCCACTAGAGATCTGCCTACATTTGTTTAACTCAACAGTGTACAGATCAGATGATTAGGCATCGCATGGCTTTCAATAATGCACATTTGTCAATACATATCTTGTATATGATTTGCATACCATTAATCAAAGAATCATGGAATTATTAAGGCTGGGAAAGACCTCTCAGGTCACCTAATCCAAACACACACCCAACCACCCCACCATACCCAGTAACCATGACCCCCAGTGCCACCTCTCCATAGTTGTTGAACACCTCCAGGGAATGCTGACTCCACCACCTCCCTGGGCAGCCTGTGCCAATGCCTCACTGCTCTTTCCAAATATTTTCTCCTGGTGCAACTTAAAGCAATTACCCCTCATTCTATCACTGTTACCTGGGAAAAGAGGCCAAATCCCACCTCATTACAACCATCTTTCAGGGAGTTACAGAGAGCAGTGAGGTCTCCCTGGAGCCTCCTCTCCTCCAAACTGAACAATCCTAGCTCCCTCATCCGCTCCTTGTAGGACTTGTGCTCCAGATCCTGCCTTTCTTTGGATGCAATGAATACTGAAGAATAATTTGTCAATGCCCAGCATTTCTCACACTGATTAAATGCATAAAGTACCCCCACTGCTCTGGTATAGAAGTGGCTGCAATCACAGTACAGGGAATCTGGGGGCAATTTCTGAAAGATGCCAGAATTCACGTTCATTTTCACCATTTTCTCCACAAACAGCTATGTAAGCTCCTTATACTCTTGCTGCCTTTCACCAAGGCAACATAATCCATGTCACTGTTTACTCCAATACATCTCTTCAGCTGCATAGTATTTATTACACATTCATCTAATGCCCTGTAGCCAGGATTGCAAGAAATGCCTGATAGCTATTTCCCATTCGTCTTTGCAGTCATTTTGCATCACCTGAAGAATTTGTCATCCCCTGTTCATTTATAAGCTTGTTGAGGTAGGGAAAAAAAAAAAAAAAAAAACAACAACAAACCACTTAGCCAATTCTTCTCTTCACTGGGAGAATAGGTAAGAAGTGCAACAGTTCTCCTCTTCTGAGTATTAGTACCATTTGCATGCATTTAAATATACTTAACTTTATTTAAAAATAAGTATTACAGAAATAGCCATTCTTCTTCTAAGTTTTGCTGACAGGTTTAAAAGGAAAAGAAAATGCACTGAAAACATTCATTTCTAATGAAAGATAAGAATATATAAAAACACACGTGACACCCCCTAGTCAATGGAAACACCCCTTGAGAGACTACAGGTGCATAAATATTACGCAAAAACTCATTTTTTACTTATACAAAAAGCAAATAATAAGCTTATGTGTAGTCCTGATGAAAGACAAAATTAAGCATTTCCTTTCCTGAAATGAAGAAACCCCGGTGGCCTTTAAAACAGATTCCTACCTCATTTCTAAGAATGCTGTAACTTCCACCTCTCCCTTCTTCAGGAGGTTTGTAGAGCTGCATTCTGATCAGGAACACCTGCTAAGAATGTGGTGGAAAAGATAACATTACTGCAAATATTAAAGGGAATATGACTATTAAAACAAG